GTTTCTAATATATTCTATTTTAAACTTTTAAATTATTCAGATTATTTTCTAAAAAAATTTGAAAAAAAAAAAAAAAAAATAAAAAAAAATTAAAATAAAAAATGTAAAAAATTAAAAAAAAAAAGGTTCTCAAAAGAAAAAATCAAAATCAAAAAAAACAAGTGAGACTATTTAATGAGGGCTGGCTCTTTTTCAAACTTGTAAATTTTTAATATATATATATCTTTTATGCCTTAATAACACATAATTATTATCACTTAATGTTTGATGATTTCCGTGCACCCTTTTTACACTTTTGTACCTGTTGTAATTAGAGTTGCCCTTTATATTAGTGTCTTGAATTTCTAAACATTATTATAGATTCTAGACGATTATAATATAATACTGTACAATTATGGTAGAAATATAAATAAAGATAAAAGACCTTTAATGTCAAGTTTTTTTATAATTATTAATTTCTATTAAAATCTAATTAATTAATTTTTGAGAACCTTTTTTTTTTTAATTTTTTACATTTTTTATTTTAATTTTTTTTTATTTTTTTTTTTTATTTCTCAAATTTTTTTAGAAAATAATCTGAATAATTTAAAAGTTTAAAATAGAATATATTAGAAACAAGCTTATTTTATCAAACAATAAATATCAATAATTCATCATTAATTAATAACTCATTATATACCTGAAAGATTTAAAAAAACTTTTGAAATCATCGATCTCTTTGTAAGAAGCATTACACATTTCATCAATATCTGGTAAAGAAATGTTCATAAATTTTGATAATTCAACTTTATTATGATTTATTGGATGAAGAATTGTATCTGTCAACTATTTATAAATAAAAAAAATATTAAATGATAATACTTTTTTTAAAAAAAATTTATCCTTATTAATTATGATAAATATATTACTTACCAGTTCACCAATCCTTCCACCATTAACCCCTAATAATGTATTTTTTGATTCGCAGAATACATTTTCAACTTGTTTACTTGATATTATTAATTCTTCCAACCTTTTTTCATTTAAATCAGATTCAAAACTTTCACCAATAAATTCAAAATCTATAATTTATCACGTGATTAGCGAAAGTAAATAAAATTTGTATTAAAGAATAATTAGAAGGGGGAAAATATATATATATATATATATACTTACATGCACCAACGAGATCCTGGGTAATAGGGCCGCAATTACCCAAACAATTCTTTGTTATCATTATTTCAATCCATCCACCAACTTTTAAAACTCTAATAATGTCATTTATGTTTACTCCTTCATATTCAATTTCAAGTTCTTGTGAACATTCTAATTCATATTCATCTTCTATTCCACAAATATTTATACCTCTTCCATTTTCACAGAGCACAAAATCAAACGTTTCATCGGGAAATGGTATATATCCTAAGCTATGAGCATGAAGAATCGTAGCATTAGGAAGTTCGGCAAGCGTTGGTGACTGTGGAGGTGAGGTAAAGTAAGAGGAGGAATATGATGATATTTCAAGACCGATGAATGTTGAATGAGGGTATGTATGTGCCATGTCAAATGTTCTTATTGATGGGTTGGTTCTACGAATAATTCATTCATATACGATATAAAAAGTTGATAATGTTAATACAAATCTAGAATTCACAAGTTTTTTTTTTACCAATGGGAATTATCCCATAAGATAAAGTTAAAAAAAAAATGCATTCACCTACCCAACAACCAGTATGCAAGCACCACCATCCTTAAGTCGTTTTTCTATCGGTGATGAAAAGCTATTTTTCCAAAGTATAGTAAATATACAATATTGCATTTCTAATCTACTTTGTTCTTTTTCGCTGTTCAGATTTATGCGAGCAAGACGTCTCATTGATGATTGATAAATCTTGTCAACTGAAGTTGTACTATCATTACTATCGCGACGAAAATATGAAGATTTATACACAGATGTTTCTGGAAGGAGGCTATGTGACTTCGTGTGAATATCTATGTCAAATGCATATTTTTCGTGCTCAAGAACTGGTGTTTTCTCAAAGTTACACATCTTTTTTTTTTATTATTATTAAACAACTTCAAGTTTATGGATTTCAACTAACAAGAGAATTAAAACTATAATCAAAGGATGTTTTGGAAGGTGGGCACTGTGGCACTTGTCGGTTTTGCAACGATTTGATGAGAAGTGAAAAAATGTTTCATATCTTAGTTTATATAAATATTTTTTCCCCGTTGTAATGTCCGAACTTTGTTTACCATCTATTTACAAGTCTAAAAATGAATATTTACATGATTTTTTATTGTTCATAGTCATTGGATTGTTTATGATAATTCGAATTTTTTTGTAACTCTCATTATTTTACAGTTTTACCGAATTTAGAAAAATATATTCAGAGGTTTTTCTCTATATATTCTTTTTTTCCTCTATATTACAATTATAGTACATTAAATCTCCGAGTATAATATTAAAACTATTATTCAATATTATTCCTATATATATCATATAAATTTCTATTGTAACTATATTAAACACCTGTAAAATGCATCAAAACAAACGAAGCATGTCCTGAATTATACCTGCGTATATTGATTTCCATCTAGGTCGGATAACACTTAGTTTACAAAAAAAATAAAAGAATGAGATCTTCTTTCTTTATCATTATACATGCCATTTTTAACCCTAGAAGAAATTAAAATAAGGTTTTATTATTATTATTATTTATACGTATTAACATTATTATTATTTATGTGAATTTCTTAAATTTACTTTTTAACATCCCTACGTAATCCTAATAACGGTCAAAATACACTGCATATGACTATATGAATTTACACAATATTAACAAAAAAGTTAAGAAGTTTTATCATTAAACGCATAATAACAAAAAAAAAAAAAAAATATCAATATAACCGCAAAAGGTTGAAATTAGGCAATAAAATCATTTCAAATATTTAACTTAAGATGGGAAGATTTTACTATATTCGTAATTTTGTTTCTTTTGAATTCTATTGTCAATACGTAATAAAAAAAAAACTTAAAATACTGTAATAGTTTTTTTTAAAACAAATACCTAAATAGGGTAATAAACAAAATTCATAATAAATTTCATAATAATAATATTTTTTTTTTGTTTAAAAATAAAATAAAATAAAATAAAATAAAATCTCGATTGTTTGAAACAAAAACTTACTTTTTAACCCATATCGATAATCATAATGAATCAATTGTCCCGACTAGGTGATTTGAAATGTTGTACGAATTAAGACCTGATTTAGAAATGAATCAGAGGTTTTTTTTTTTTTTTCTGCAATAAATATTCACAATGCAGCTTATACAATGATTGGTCGAAATTTTAAATTATAACTTACATATATTACGGTATTTGATTATCAAGCATACAAGCACATACTAACGTACTGTACGTTCATACGTATGTAAGAGTTCAACATTACGCATTGCGTAGTGCTATAACATTAAAAGCATTTGATTAAAGGGTCTTCTGTATATTATTGTGATTAGTAAAGCGTTTACACATATTGTCATCGGAAACTTTTTTATTACCAGTCAATCAATCAATAATATAAATTGAATCTTGTGTATGTCCTACATGTGAGAGGAAGTTCGGCCGAGATGAAACCTATCTCACATAGAAGTGCGTAAAAAAAAATAAAAACGTGCAAAGTGAAAAGTCAATAATAGATGTTAAAATTAAATGTATGCACTATAACTTAATTCACATAACCATTAATGCATAATTTGTGCCTTGACCAACAAAAAATTTTACGATTAAACTAATAAACTTTATTAATAATTTAGCCAGTTTAGCTGAAAAAAACCTCTACTTTTATATTTATGTAACCATATAAATTGATCAATTGGCAAAAAAATCATTTTTATTGGTATTTACCTGGCAATCACGTGACTAAAGCCAGTATTCTTTAAACTTCAACTCATAACGATAATAGAAGTAAACCATTTAATTTAAGATGAATACTATAAATTTATATACGTACAGTACAGTAGTTCAAAAGGGTTTAAAGTATATATGCTAGAAACATGATTAAAATCCGATTGGCTGTCGATCCTTGAATTGCCTATCGTAATAGTAGATTAGAGTGTCCCGCACATAATTGTACGAATTCGTGTCAGCTAATCTGACCGGCATTATCTGGCCGCACTATGCAGGGATTTTCAATTTAGCTAAAGATAAATCATCGTTATTATATCAGGTCAACAAAAAGTGGCGCCTTGGGATTCTGCAAATTCTTAATCATCAATATAAAGCAGACCAATAAAAATACATTGTTTAGTTACTGATAATGCAAATTCGGCAAATTCTGCAGAATTGGGTAGCCTAAAAATGATAATATTGCTACGTATATAAATTAATCAGATGAATTTTTTAGGGAACTAATATTTCACACACCCACATGTAGATTACTTTTTTTAAACCTTTAATCGCGATAACCATAACCAAATTTAATGAAAAAAAAAAAAAATTCATTAAATTTGGTTAAACGGTGTTTGAGATACCTTTGATCAAAGTTTTATAAAATTTCAAACGTTTATCAAAAATAGAAGTCGGAATAACTTTGATTAATGTGAATTTTTTTATCGGTATACAAAATAAATAGAAAATTTTATCGAATTTTTTTATGTGGTTGTCGAGATACTTTGATCAATATGTTTAAAAAAAATTTTCAAACTTCTATTAAAATAATCTGCGTTAATTTTGTTTTAAACCTCAAATTTAAAAGGGTATTGACCAATCAGATTGTTATTTGACATATCGATATTTGCTGTATATAATTTTTTTTTTACTATACAGTACAATTTACATCACTTATTCTTATATTTTATACATACGTAAAGTTAAAATACTGTATTTCCATGCATTATTGTTATGATATTTTTGTTATAATATAAAAAGACACATTTTAAGAAACTATTAATAAGTATTATTATATATATTTTTTATGGACGATACTAGGTTGGCTTAATTAAAATAATGATAATTGCTTTGAATTATATTTAAAAATCAGCCTTCTCTCCTTTTCTTTTGGCATTATCCTTTTTTTGTTTAATACATATTCAACATCTTCAAATAAAATCTAATTAATAAAGAGTAATAACATAATTCTTTGTCTCAATTGGTCTAATTGTATACAGTATATAATATATATATCGTATTAAAAGTAATGTCATGTCTTTATACTGGTTGAAAAGGTGAAATTTGACCTCTAATCGGAGTTTGAATTTCAAATTTTTGGTCGAAATTAGTCAAAAATTCGACCTATAATCAACCTATAATCGACCTAAAAACTATCAATCAGCTTAAAATCGGCATCTGATTTTAGGTTGAATAGTTAATTTTAAAATTTGACCTAAATTCAGAGTCTGATTTTAGGTTAAATTTTAAAATTAACTATTCAACCTAAAATTAGATACTGATTTTAAGCTGATTGGTAGTTTTTAGATTGATTATAAGTTGATTATAGGTTGAATTTTTTGGTTAATTCAATCTGAATTCAACTAAAAATTTGAAATTTAATATCTGATTAGAGATCAAATTTCATTTTTTCAACTAGTAATAATCAAATAAAATATTTAAATTAGTTATAAATTTATAGCTATATACTTACTAATAAATAATTATAAAAATAATATTTTTTAAAATTAAATATAGAAAATAATAGTGAATATGAAAATATTATTAACTTATAAAAAACTTTTAATATATATTTAGTTATTGCTCAAGTTAATCAAAATATTTATAATTCACTTTAAGAGTATTGAAGTAATCTAATTATATAGATCTTCTAACAACTTTACTACAGTAGATCTAAGGCTTAAAAAAATATATTTTTAGCTTAATCATATATATAAAAAAATAATTAAAATATGTCATGAAAATTTATTACTATGGTTAATAAAATTCTAGTATAAGTAATTGTTACATCTAATATAATTTTAATTAATTAATATTTCATATTAATTTATGATAATAATAATAAAGATAATAATAATAATTTATCAACTAATAAGCTGAACAAATATTTGAATATTAATAAAGTTTTTATTATTTTCAAACAAACTTAATTTTTAATATAGTAAAAAAAATATAAAAAAGAATTTCTAGGTTTAAGTAAATTAGCAAAAAAATACTTAGCTATTCTAGCTACTTTAGTTTTAAATAAATATTTGTTCTCAGATACTAAAAATTAAATAATTCTAAAATTATCTTCTTTAAGTTCTAAAACTATTTCTCAAATATTGTTTTTAAAAAAAAATAGTAATTTAATTAGTATTATATAATAGTATAACAACTCTTTCTAATAATCATCTAAATCATATATAAAGCAAACTTTTATTATTTAAAAAACAATAGCAAAGCTAATATTTTAAAAAAATACAGTAATCTTAATAGAAAAAACAGTATAAAATATGCTTTAAACTAGATTTAGTACTAGTTTGTAAATAGATATAGGTAGTATAAATATAAAACTTAGTTTTAGTAAAAAGTAGCTATTAAAATTTTTGAAGAAATATATTATTTGTTCTAAACTAATAAAAGAAAAAAGTTGAAGAAAAGAAAGAAGAAATATCTACTACAGTACTTGAACTAGATCAAATATTTTATTCTCTTTAACTACTATAGTTTTTGTAACTACTATTCTTTTTCTTGATATTTGGTCTTTTTCTCAAATAATTATAGAGATTTAGCATATTTTTATACAAAGATTAATACAGTTAACTATTTTCAAATTAGAATATATCTGTTGAAGTACAATATTATATGAGAAAATAATAATATATAAATTTGCTAAATATATAAAACAACTAGTTTAGATCTAATTATAGAATAAGTATAAACAATATGATATATATTTTTACTATTATGTAATATAATATTTTTATTAACTGAAGAGAAATTTCTTTTTATAGATTAGATTTTTTTTCTTATCATTTTTTTAATTCTTTTTTATTTTTTTATTTTACATTTTAGATTAGTTTTTTTATCTATAGCAGATTTTTCTAATTTAAAATAT